CTCTCTCTCTCTCTCTCTCTCTGTGTTCAGGGGTGCGCGCGGTGGTGTGGCGTACAGCAGCGAGATTGCTCACGGCTACCTCTCCGCGGAAAAACTGCTGGCGACGAGATGCTCGCGTTGAACAATTGCTGGGTGGAACCAACGATCGAGGAGCGTTTGTTGCTTTGCACGCGGATCGACTAGTCGCTTTTGCTACTAGTCGACTTTGCTCCATGGGTCAACGACTGTCTCGAGCGACTTCTGTAACCACCGACTTCTCTCTGTTCCCTGCGAAATGAGCAATGCTGATGGGATCGTTTGCGCTGATTCAAGCCCCGACGATGGAACTTGAGTTGCATCGAAAGCTTTGAAATACGTCTTGTTATAATTGTAGTACCGTAGGTCATTGCCGTGGGTCGTTAAGTTATCTTAATGTTTGCTGAAAGAAAGCATGAATGTGGTGAGGCGTTTCTCTTTTTGAAAAAGGTGAGAGTGAAGAACAGATTGAGTTGTTAAGAAAGAGTTCGTTTGAGTTGTGACCGAGTACATTAGTTGCCAATCTGTGTTCATTCTCTTGTTTAATCATCTATCGTTTAAATAAATATCATTCATATCTAACCTCTACGTAATTCTAATTATAAGCAAGGTAGGTAGACATCGATGATTTTCATGGAAAACGGAGCGATATAAATTTGCAAGAATTTTTAATGAAACGTTCTATCATTGACAATTTTGGCGAGCAAAACGAAAATGTTTATTAGTGCAAAGTTGATAGCTGAAGTCGATAATAATCGTTCTCAGTTCCTTTAAAAACGAAGAATTTAGACAGTAATCATTTCTTTATTTTTACAATTTTCTATATTCTCGGTATTAGAATACAAAAAGTACGTAGCTCGATATTTCCTCCCTATTGTCAGATATTAAAATTTAGATATTAGAATCATTAAGCAAGTATTAATGATTGTGTTATGGTGACGTTTAGAGTTAAACGTGAACAATACCTCATAGAAATAAATCGGTTTTGATACAAGTTTAAATAATACAATGTAACTTGGAACGTAATATAATTAAATAATGTGAAATGATTTTATTGTATAAGAACAAGTAGTTTGTAGCAATAGCGTTTGAAGGGAGAGATAGTTTAATAGCTATGGGGCGTCGTGGGACCATTCGAGATCAGCTGAAAGAAATGGTGGACATCAAATTTTACGATGAACTATTCCAATGGCGAGCATTCGTTCGTGAAATGTCCTCGGAGAAAGACAATGTCGTGTAACTACGTTGAATCGTTGAATCGCAATCGGATGTGGTTGCATCAGCGTGACACGAGTTTTTAAACATAAGCTCAGTGCTCAAATTTTAAAATGAATAACGACCATTTGAAACGCTTCCAGCCGGATTAAAAGCACCTTTTTCAGCGTTGTGTGACGCTTTTAAAGCGAAAATGGCATCTATAAAAAATGACGGCCGTAAATAACAACGGTCGCATGAAAATTTTGTCATTATGCAGTTGACATCTTTCCGATTGAACGTGTACTCGTACGAATAAAACAGAAACAAAAGGTATTCTCATAATTTGAAATTGGAAAACGTAATAAAGGTAGTAAATGTAAATTAATCACAATTGAACGGTTAGGGAAACTCGTGTGGATAATTTGTGGCACAAGCAATTGCAAGTTGTATAAAAATATGAAATATGAAGCACGAGTGTTGCATGAAAGTCGAATGAAAATAGAAATTAAATTAAATAAAAATTCTATATAATATATGCGAAACGATATAAACGTGGAATGTCATTTATTTATAACGTAGATGCAGTTTTTAAGATTTTTCAGAGAAAAATTGTAGGACGAAAGATATTTACTTCGATGCACAGCGGAAAATAATGAAAATAATGAATTATTATGCGAAAAACTGTCGGAATGAGTTCACCGAGTTGACTTTATTTCCGCAGTGTCGTGTACAATGCGTATGAAGAATTCAAAATTTCTTAACCTGGGTCTCTGGCGAACCTTAAAACTTGTCTCGATTTTATTGCGTTCGAAATTTATGGCGTGTTGATATCGAGTGTCGCTTGAATTCCAGTTCCTCCGCCGCAGGGATGCTTTCAACGCGAACGTTCGG